TTGGTACACATGTACCATTTGGGATGCAGAGTTCAGGAAAAATCCCACTTTGGAGGTACATGCCCTGGGGGTACACATTTTGGGGGGAACCTTTTTTCTTAAATATATTTTGTGACAGATGAGGAAGGCATTCAGAGGGTGTACTGGATGCGCTGCGTTCGGTGGTGTAGTAGTAGCATCTCTGACTGGCAATCAGAAGGTCCGGGTTCAATTCACGGACAATCCTTGGCTATCTTTTGGTTTCTTTTTTGCCTTCCACGTCCCATTACTCCTTCCCCCACCACAACATTATTTTTGCTTGATTAAAACGTAGAGACATGAAAAGCTGAAACTTGCCATGCACGTGCCTACCAAGACGATGAGTTCAGGAAAAATGAAAAATTATAGATCCATGCCCTGGGGACATATTTTTGTGAGCCGACGTTTTTAATTTTTTTTTTTTTGCCCAAGCACATTGAGCTAGTGTGGAAAGATTAAACTTGGTACATAACTACCAATTGGCATACTGCATAAAACTTCAGACTTTGGAAGTCCATGCTTGGGGGCAGAAATTTCAAAGGGAGATGTTTTCAACTAACTTTTTTTGCATCAGTTAAACTGATAAACATGGAAAGCTGAAACGTTGCATGAATGTGACTACTGAAACAAGGAGTTAAATAAAAATGTTTTCTGTCGATACTTCCCCTGGGGGAATTTTTTTGAATTGGCGATGTTTTGAAAAAAAATTGTTGTCGCGAATTGGACAGAAATGGAAAGGTAAAACTTGGCACACGTATAAGTGACATGATCTTACTGAGCTAAGGGAGTATTCAGCTTTATGGTGCATCCCCTCCGGGAATAGCTTTTGGGTGGGTCGGCTTTTCCAAGCATGTTTTTTCACCAGCGAATAGGACAAAAGTATAATATTGAAACTTTCTGGGCATGTAGTTCACCAGGCAGATAGAAAAGTAGCTGGAGCACGCATCACTGACGTGATGTTGATTTAAAAAAAATTAAACTTTTTTAATACTTCTCAGAGCACAGCTTTTGGCGGGGTCACTTTTTCGAAATGCATTTTTTCCCGCAAGCAAAAAGGGGAAGCGTATCAGGAGGAAACTGTGTGGCATGGAGTTCCCTGAGTCTACATTTCAAAAGAAAAATAATAATCGTTAAAACCTATTAGGGCACTTTTTAATGTACCATTTTCCTTATTTTTTTTTGATCCAACGAAACAGAGAAAGAAAATGTAAACTTCCCTCAGAAGTACCTGTTTGATGACTGAGTAGAGGAAAAATCCTAATTTGGAAATATGTCTCCTTAGCGTAATTATTGGAGGGAAGTATTTCCAAATGTATTCTCCACCCTTGCAAAAAGCAACTTAAGAAAAGATTTCAAGGTAGGCACACATAGAATCATGGAGGTAATGACGTTGATAAAAATCAAGACTTTCGACCCCATATGTCGCGTATTTCAATGGGGACGTACTTTAAACATGTGTTTCCCATTTCGCAAATAAAGAATGAATTAATCACTATCCAAGGTAATAGAGCACCGAAGGCGCGACTATAGCGAGTTTGTTTGGCCTTCGGGCAAACAATCTCGCAAGTGAGAATATATTTTCCACAAAGCAGGTCTTCAACGCCCAGAACATGCACCTGCTATGTCCCAGCTTAGCGAGGATACCATCTGAGCTGGAAATCGTTTCTTGGTCGTAGAAGGCTGGAGACATAGATTGTGCTGGAGCTTCAGCAAATGACCCCACGAATTTGATTTTTCTGCTAGAGGGAGCGAAAATGAACCTCCATCGGTGCCGCGAGCTCATTTTTAAATTCTGCAGTCGAAACGTGTTCAGCAACCAATATTGAAACTTTGATCAAGATCCTAAGCCCACACTGACAAAGAAACTCAGCAATGGTCGGGGTGCAACAAGCCGAACTTAATCATGTGAACTAATTTTCCCCCATCGTCTACAGATCTCAATCCCTTGGACTGCTTCTTATGGTCACTCTCTCGGGCAAAGATCTGCCCTCGCCCACAGACGAATGCTGGGTTTCTGAAGTTTCTTTACCTTGTTCGAATTAGGAAGTAGATTCCTCAAGAAACTCTGCATGCTGCAGTCCTCGAATTGCGTCGTCGTTTTAAAACTAGGGTAAAAGCACGTAATGAACATTTTGAGTAGCCCTTTGTTTAAAAGTTACCTAACATGTAGCTGAGCATTTTTGAAATCTTTCATCTTTCTTGGGCCTTCGGTTTTGGTACAGAGAGAAAAAAGATAAATCGACAGAACTTATTTGTCACTATTAATTATTTGTCCCACCAAAAACATATGTTGATTTTTCTCGTAGGTGATCTGATGTTCATCGTGGAGTACTATCGGCATGGGGATCTGGAACGACATCTGAGAAAATATCGATCATACTTTGAGAATGGAATTGGCCATCACACTCGCAATGAACCTAGGATTGAGAAGGAGTGCCTACACGCCAACGCTCACCTGCTTCCAGGTATCTAATTTGGTAATTGAAGAGTTGCACCTGTTGGGTAAACTTTTGTTCAAAATTAGAAATTTCGCCGAAAATCTTACTGCTTACAGCGATATCCTTCTAATGAAGAGGGGAAGGAATCTGAAATAATAGTTGTACTCATGGTACTCGCGGCTCAATTCGAATCAATCAAAAACGCCAGTAGGGCTTACTCACCCTTGACGACAGAATTTCAAAAGCCTTTAACATTACATTTGTCCATCGCTTTCAGCTCCGAATCTCAGATTTTTCTCTTCAGTTTCAGGCAATAATCCATGTTTCTCCTTTTGTTTCAATCCATAACAGCTTCTTTCTGCTACTAATTCTATCGCTTCAGACTTCAGTTTGCATGCCAGTAGACTCTGGGCCTTCAGAACCGGGAAATCCTACCCCGTATTACTTTTTGCACAAAGTTAATTCAATTTGGGGGTTTTGTCCGTCTGCAACTCTTAAAAAAGAAAACCTAGGCGCCAGCCCATTGAAGTGGTTCATCATTTATCGTCACACATGCAATTGAATCAGCACGAATTCAAGTAACATTAATTTTCAGGAAGAGAACATGGACATGGATTGGAAATGACTATCAGAAAAAAAGGGGAGACCTCCGAATGGATTAATCTCCTTTTGTCCTTCTCTCGGGGTGATCTGGTGTCTTGGGGATACCAGATATCTCAAGGAATGGAGTACTTGAGTTCCCGGAAGGTGTGTTATTTCCAAAGCATAATTATTATCCGCCATTCTAACCAGGAGAATGTGCGCGAAGTGATACTAATTGAATCATTGAATATTACCTAGTTTTTCCAACAACAGTAAAACTGGTAATATTGAACTCGACCCCTTTTCCCCATCAAAACCCATTGCCTCTTAACGCTAAATCCAGCATCATGCTGGCGAAACGTTCCAGATGATAAAACATGCCAACTTCATTTTTTTTTACCGCGCTTGTATATTATGGCATCGTGCACACGAACACCAAGCTTAGCTACAATTAGAATACTATCGAGGAATCGTCAAGCTCAGAATTAAAAAGCAACGAAGGACGCACTTGCATAGGGACCTTGAAAGAGAAGCCAGATGAAAGGTCGAAAGTATTAATATTTCATTTCATTGAAGATTGTCCATCGAAATCTGGCGGCAAGAAACATTCTCTTAGCAGAAGAAAACGTCGTGAAGATATCAGGTTTTGGCTTTGCCAGAGATACCCAAATAAACAATCAGTACATCAAAGAAGGAGATGTGAGTTCCTTACTTGGACATTTCCTTATTATTACATCAATTGAGGGAGTATTATATGAATCCCTGAACCTGAATATTCCAGGGACCAATACCTTACAAATGGATGGCTTTGGAATCACTCATCCATGAGAACGTATATACAAGCAAATCAGACGTTTGGGCATACGGAATAACGCTCTGGGAGATTTTCAGCCTTGGTAAGACTCCATATCCAGGCATGAAATCTACAGAACTCATCGAGCGCCTGCAAGCCGGCTATCGCATGGAGGCTCCTGATTGCGCCAATGAACCTATGTCAGACCACAATCATCATTACTCTACAATACAAACTGAATATTAGCTCTTTCTCTTTTAATTACAACTTCTGGGTCCATCTTGAACAGCTATGAAATCATGCGGAAGTGCTGGGATGCAGATCCAAATGATCGGCCAACATTTTCTGTGCTGAGTGAATGGTTTGCGACTATGATGCCAGAATCTGAACATGAAGTACATCTTGAATCCATACCGGTACCAAACGCACAAGACTATACCCAACAAAATGTCATCCATTGTTCCACTTTGTTTATCTGCAGCGCATTTTGGAGCTGAACAAGTCATACGAGGAAATGAACGCCGAGCACTTCAAGAAGCATCCAGATTACTTGCAACAGATGGCATCTGGAGGATTCGAAGAGGGATACCTTCATCCACGTGGAATCCTGGATTTTCAAAGGGAATCATCTGCATCGTACCAAGACAATACCATTCACGAGTACTGCGAAATCAATGAGAATTTCAAATCGAAAATCTCTGACAACGTTCCAAAGGATGAAATACGAGGAAGACAAAACCCAGAGATACAAACAGATGAGCTTTGAGGCGATACCCAAGAATTGTACTGGAAAGAGAGGGAAAAAACGAAGTCATCAAATTGGATAAAAAAATAATAATTGTATATGAACTGTTGTCGTTTGTCTAAAAAGTGACACTGCATTTGAGGTGAAAATAGGAAGCAACAAAGAGTTCAGAAGTATTGTCAAGAAGAGTCATGAACCTCTCCTTAAATATCAGTTGAACCCGACCGTTCATTGAAAGGTTACAGTTAATTAAAATAGTGTGGTGACTTTATAATGACCCTGTAAGTAGATCTTAGGCAGTGTCAACCGGAAGAGGCGGAGATAGAGCATTCCACGTTGCACTATTGCTCCACCTATTTCGCATTCTAGCCGGATTATCGTGAAACATCCCGCGCGGAGGATCCAGCATACCTCTCGCTAAATTCGTCCTTTTAAGCAATAGGAAATTTCTCACACATATCCTTAGCGGGATGTCTTCCATGTGATCTCTGTTTCTCTAGGTCACCCCACTTCCTTCCGTTCATCATCAAGCCACCTGCACCATTGTCGGAAAATGCCAAATACATTTTGAAAAAGAAGGAAGGCCTTTCGCCTCATTTTTTTTCAGAGCATTCCCTCTATCTACATTTTACTCTTATAGGTGCAAGCATGAAGATACCGAGTTCCCATGTTAAATTTGATATCCAGACTACAGACTGATGTTAAAGGGGGACCATCAAAATTGGGTTATTTGTAGAATTGCTGTACCAATTTTCCGATGAAACTGATAAGAGCAATTATAGGCTTTTATTGTTCAGAAAAATTACCAGTAACATCGGAATCAGTCAACAAGTTAGTATCTGACAGTAAGCGCTGCACCTATGCATTGATGAATCCCTCAGGTCAAGAATATGAATCTCTCCATATATGTCGGGAGGGAATTACGATGAATTCAATGCGTTTGTTCCCCAGAACGAAATATAAAGCTCATCGTAAAATCCCTTCTTTTGGGGGATTCGTTTTTCCATCAAAATGCCATCCGCTGAGATCGGAACATCTAACGACGCTGTGGAAAAACGATTTCCCTCAGAGCAGAGGTAGGAAATACATTTTTCGGCCTGAAAGGAAAAAAGAATGGTCCCAAAAGGGCTAACAAGTAAGAAAGAGGACGCATCAAGTTCTGGTTGAATTTGTTTACTGTCAAAAGTAAGCAATCAAAAATAGCCTAAATCAAGATCGCCAACGTTGACCTTGCATTGAGGGATGTAGGGGTGATAATAAAGGTGAATGATGAAACACCAGAAATAAGAAAACATGGGAAATCACTGCCGACAGTTCATGGAACATCTCCCTGTTCTGAATGCATTTGATTATACCACTTCACCGTCCCTAACCACGTGACGATTCCGCTGAAACTTTCAGAATATTAATAGTGAAAATCAATACTGAGGAATGCTATTAATTGAACTTGGGATTCACCTAAATTAGTGAATTGGCTTTACATAAACTTATGGTGTTAATTTTACTAGTTTTCAGAAAATATTAAACTAATTTGTGTATCATTCGGACAGGTTTGTTACCTTACCTACCTTACCTTAGTTGTCAAGTTCATATTTTCTTGATCTAAGGCTGTTTCAATTTTTACGGATTGATATCACCCTCGAAGGAAGTGTCTCAGAGTCGAGTCCTATTGGGTAAATCTCCGACGAGCAAAGAAGGAAGAAGTGAGGCTCACCATGACAAACCTCCACTGCCCCTGCTTGAAGAAATTGACATTTGCAGGTGCTGTGAGCAAGGGATATCATCTTCTAATCTAATATATATATAGACGATCGTGCCTGACTGACTGACTGACTGTCTGACTGACTGACGCTAATTTTAACCATGTTCTAGATAAATGAGAAATCTGAAACTTGGTTTCGTTTTTTTTTAAAATGTTTTTAAAGATATCGATTGTTACGGATAGGATGCCATCGAGAAGTTTCACAGGATGTGCCTGGTTTGGTGGTGTAGCCTGACCGGCAATCAAGAGGCCCGGGTTCAATTTCCGGTTGTTCATTAAATTTATTTCGGCCTCTTATGCCTTCAAAGTCAAAGTACTCATCCCCCCTCCGTAACAACATTTTTGCTTTGTAAAACGGAGAGACATGGAAAGCTGAAACTTGGCATGGACATGCCTACCGAGACCATGAATTCAGGAAAAATGTAAAATTTTAGATCCATGCCCTGTGGGGGTATATATTTCAGACGTTTTCAAGTAATTTTTTTTTTGCCCTGGCGTATTGAGCTGGTGTGGAAAGATGAAACTTGGTACATAATTACCTATTGGGATGCTGCGTGTAGAAAAATTCGGACTTTGGAAGTAACTGCCCTGGGGGCATACATTTCAAAGGGGGATGTTTTCAACTAATTTTTTTCGCCTCAGTTAAACTGATGAACATGGAAAGCTGAAACTTTGCATAAATGTGACTACTGAGACAAGGAGTTAAAGAACAATGTTAAGTCTCGATACATCCCCTGGGGGAATTTTGTCTGGGGGCGATGTTAAAAAAAAATGTTAACGTGGCGAATTGGACAGAAATGGAAATGTGAAACTTGGCACACGTATAAGTGACATGGTATTATTGAAATGAGGGCGTATTTAGCTTTCATGGTGCATCCCCTCCTGGCATAGCTTTTGGGTGCGTTGGCTTCTCGAGACATGTTTTTCCACCAGCGAAAAAAGCAAACCTATAAGGTTGAAACTTATTGGGCATGTTGTTCTCTTAGAATTGATTTTGGTAAAAAAGAAAGGTACTTTTCGGTTAAAACGCCGTAGGGCACATACATTGCAAAAAGGTGTATTTTCTCGAATTTCTGATATAGCAAGCCAGAAGGCGCTAGAAAGTTTAAACTTGGCAAAGAAGAACCTGATATATAGGTTAGTAAATAAAAAATTATATTTTATTATGTATAAAAGATGGTGAGCTGACTGACACAAGTCGTATGATTAGTTGAGGAAAAATTCTAATTAGGTGATGCATGCCATCACACACCTTTTCGGGGCACACCTTTTCGGGGAACATATTTTCGAATAGTTCTCTTTGCTTCAATAAAAAGGAGACACATTGAAAATTGAAAATTGGCAAGAACGTGACTGCTGAAGCTCTGAGCTCAGGAAAAATGTCAAATTTCCAAAATAGTGGAATTTTGGGTGGGATATTTCTTGGGGACGTTACGTTTTCAAAGAATGTTTCATATCCTAGCGAATCGGGCAGAAATAGAAAAGTAGCAGCTGGCGCATGCATAACGTACGTGATGCTGATTTAATGAAAAATCATGCTTTTATTGTGCGTCTCCTTATAGTGCAGCTTTTGGGTGGGTCGCTTTTCCAAATACATTTTTTACCGCCAGTAAAAAGGGGAAACGTATAAGGCTGAAACCGAGTGGCATCGAGTTCCCTGAATCTACATTTCAGAAGAAAGAACATTTTTCGTTAAAACCCAACAGGGTAATTTTTCAGTCCCACTTTCTTGAATTTTTTTGATCCAACGAAACAGAGACAGAAAATATAAACTTCCCTCAGAAGTACCTATTTGATGGCTGAGTAAAGGAAAAATCTCATTTTTGAAGTACGTCCCATTAGCGTAGATTATAGGAGGGAAGTAATTAAAAATGTATTCTCCACCCTTGCAAAAAGGGAAACATGAAAAGATTTCAAGTTAGACGCACTACAAATCAGAAGTAATGATTATGATAAAAATCAAGACTTTCGTCTCCATATGTCACGTATTTAAATGGGGACGAACTTTAAATACGTGTTCGCCATTTCGCAAAGATTAAATTAATCACTATCCAAGGTAATGGAGTGCCGAAGGCGCGACCTTGTCCACATGAAATGTACATGTCTGTGAGGATTGATGCCAGCTGATGGAGAAAACGAATATCTTGTGGAAATTCTGAACAAGAAAGCACTCATTCGCGAAGCAGAACCCAGCATGCAGTGCCTCCCTCTCCCAAATTCGATCACTAGAAATAGATATAGGAAACCCCATCGACCTTGTTAAATAGGGATGCACAACCTCCGACTCGCATGCCGAACGTTCCCAATCCATACAATTTCTTAGATTTATACATTCATCATTGTGATATCGTCGTACCTTCGATTAGTTTACGTCAATGACTACTTGAGGTTAACAACATAAAATAAATAACTTTTCTCTACTAATTTTTCAGTTTTGAATTTCGTACTTAAGTAATACTAGATATGTACTTAATTTTCACTGATTATCTCTTCTTTCAAATAACATTTAAAATTTTTGCAAAATATATGGGATCGTTGTTGCACGTACACACGCTAATTTAACTTTAGAATTCCTTCCTAGAGGGCTGACCCTTTTCCAGTAGAAATTCAGCCATTTTCTTCGATGTATCAGTAGGGACATATGGATGGGTGATGGCGGAAGACAGGGAGATAATGAATCGGAAGTAGGACGAGATGGCTGACACGGTCCGGGTGAGAGTCCATCACAATTCATATTGTATCGATATTGCCCACCGTCTTATTCGCGCGTGCTTTTTCACGTTCAGGAAACGAACTTTCACCTCTGTTCAGGGCCGCTTCCCTCTCTAGCTTTCGTACCCACTCTTACAGAAAGTAAAGGCGAATCCTGCTCGCTTGCTCTTGTAAGACAAATTGTGCACTCGAAGAGGTGATATAGAGATCGTCAAAGATTGCGACCATATACATCAACCCAATTGTAATTAGGTTGATGATAGGCAAAGGCCCGTTTCCTCATCTGCTTTCCTGATCACGTCGATAGGCATACATTCCAGGTATGGTCTCAAATTGGAACGTGATTCCAGTTTCATCAGGTTTCTGTCGCTTCTCATTAAGAGAAGCTTGTACATGTTAAGCTCAGCCCTCATCACTCATCTGTTTTTTTAATTAGGTCGTTCTTGACCTTTTTTAAAAATTTTTCCTTAGCCCAATAATGCATAAATGGGCACTTATTTTTCACCAAAATGTAATTTTGCAAAATATATCCATGGTTTTCATGCATCATTATCATCATGTCCACTCATTTTCATTTATTTTCCATTTGTTACTTATATATGCTTCGATATGGAATTTGCCTGAATCTTCTATAGATCCGTGTATACGAGGGGTGTTCAATTAATAAGGTAACAAGGCCTGCTGCGGATAAATTATTGGATGTATCGAGGAACTTTTCTAGTAATCGACCACGAACAGCTGTTTAAAGACACGGTTTTAGAAACTTTTTTTTGACAAAAATGACTATATTCCAAGTGACAGGGCCAACGCCACGTTGTTGAGTGACTTGCTGAGAATTGCTTGCATCTGGAAGCGAGGGGGCATGTACTTGGATTTAGATTACATAATCCTGAAGTCATTCCACGGGTTGGCTGAATCATTCATAACGAACGAGATCCTCGTGCCCAACAATGCTTCTTTCAGATTCCCTGCCAGATACCCGTTCCTAACAGAGACCATGCAGCAAGTGAGAAAGTGTGCGACGCCCGGTGTCTTGGTTTCCACTGAGCCCTGGCTCTTCCTGAGATCGTTCAGCCGATGATGTCGCAAGGATTCGTATTGGAATACTTGGATGTGGGGGATGGAGTGCCACGGTGTCGTCGCATATCCACCCAACCTTTTCTATCCCATCAGTTTCTTCTCCATTCTGGACATCTTGAAAGCGAATGTCACAAAACAGGTCGCAGATTGCGTTGCGGGCAGTTACGCCTTTCACTACTGGAACAGTGTGTCCCGAAAACTTGGTTTTAGTGTTTCAGATCGAAGTATCTTTGCGAGTTTGGCAAAGGGGAATTGCCCGTGGGCCGTAAAAAATATGGGAAATCTTTTGGACAGTACGATCAGTGAATTTTTATTTTTTATTTTTTTTTTAGTGAATATTTTGCCCGTCAGTAAATTAGGAAAACCAGACTTGGCTCTATTTTGAACAATTATGACCGAAAGAGCAGTACTTAGCGTAAAATTGCGAAATGGAACACGAAATTTCAACATTTCTTGCAGACGAATTAAACATCAGTCAAAAGGTCGCTGCCGAACGACCAACTGTCTCGGAATACGCAGTGAATATAATTTTAATTCAATGTGACATTTCCTATTCCTCTGAAAGTAGTCTGTTTCGAGCATGTTATGAAAAACATAGCTGATGGCATAGTAGTAAATACTAATTTGTAATTAAGAAATTATATCATATTATCATATGAATTGTGGTGTTTTCAACTCAAAATACCTCGGAAGGTAGAGGAGAAAAATCCATGAGAAAAACAATGGGAACTTTTTGCGCCTACTTGCATCTTTTTTATATTTTTGGATTCATCTCACCCCTCTAGGATAAACTCATCCCATTCTAATGTAAGGATTAAATACCAAAAGAGAAGCTTACCATATTTTGAAAAGGCAATACTTTATTTTCAGAACGACATTTTTTAAATACCGATTTCAATAAGCGACCCAGTCGATACTGATGTCAACATGCGACGGTACCACGCATCAACGTCTCTTAAATAGAACCCATAACAAGTAATAAACGCCCCTAAAAACACACAAGATCGTGAACCACACGGCCTTCTCCATTGTGCAAATATTCATTAAAACAGACTTAATATTTAAAAAAAAAGAATATGTAGCAGAAGCTGAAAACAAAATGTTATATCCGCTTCGGACATTGCTCCGACACTTTTGAATTAAAATTTATTCCGTCATAGAATGCCGCAGGAAATAGTAATAAAAAAAACAAGCTTAAGGACATTTCGTGGCCAGAATGTATTCATGAAGTTCAGCGAACGAATAGGAGCTAGTATACCATTGGAAAAGAAAAATAGCCTGAGAAACAATTTGGAAAGTATTCTTACAAATCGAAGACGGCTTGGAAGGCAATGGTGGAAAGTATCGAAAAACCTCAAATTTCTCGCATAAACAACTATGAAAATTATTGAATCGACGTGATATTCGGACCGGTTGGGCTGCAACTTCGCTCAAGTTAGTTGCATGTGGCCCAAGGGAGGGGAATGAAACGAAAGCGACAGAAAAGACCCGGATAGTGGGCGAGGGAAGAGTCTTGATGGATCGACTGGGTTCGGGAAAAGGGCGATGGATGTTCTTCTTCGTTGCTATGGTGGACTGGATGAACTGGTTGAATCGAGTCAACAAATAACTTTGAAGTTTTGTCCGCCATAGTTCACTTCAGAATCAAAAAGTAGAGAGTCCTTTCTGACAAATTTACCCGTTGAGAAGAGAAAGAGAGGAGAAGAGAACAAACGCATCTTCTTCCTGATATTCCTTCATCTGATTTCATTTTGATTCCAATTTCCCCCCCGGCGGACCGCGAGCGGCGGTGGGGACGGTGAGGGCCAGGATGACCAGCCGTTCTGACATTTGATTCAACGTCAAATTGAAACTTTCAGGTACTAAAGTTCATTTGGCTGAAGATCGCAGTCAAGTTTACCCCAAGTTCAGGACCGTGCAGATAGAGGTTTCAACGATCTCTTCAACGAGTTGATGTGGAGCGGCATGCCTTTCTCATGATGATTTCTCTCTGTCGCGAAGCAGCTTCAAAAGCTCTGGAATCTGTTCCTCCTGAATCCGTTGAATCTGGCTCGAAACTTGCTGAATCTGTTTCTGGATCGAAATTATAGATTCCTCCGCATTCATAATTCCCTCTGGTGAACTGCCTTCTTTGTCATTTTCAAGGCGTTTCACTTCCTCTTTTACTTTCTTATCTTCTGCTGACACTTCAGAGATAACTCTCAAAATATTTTCCAAGATATGATTTGGAAGTTCTCGCTTCTTTTCCTGGAGTCGTCCTGTCTCGATGAGGTCCGGCTCCCGACGTCTCCGAAGGAAGTACTTATTTTTCATCACGTTTTCCAGGTGATAGAGCAGGCGTACCTGTTTCTGCAGGCGGGTGATTTCGGCCCTCTTGGTCAACTCCTGGACGTCAGCGACCGCAAGGGAAGTGAGGAGATTCATGACGATGATGGCCATGAGGGCCACGAAGAGAAGGTAAATGATGTGCCCCGACCACCGAAGCACTCGGTTGGACTCGTAAAAGGTGGCGTAGAACTCCAGCTCCCCCGACATCATCACGGCAGCCCGGTAGATGGAGCTCGGGACGTCGACGAACTTCCCAGGGAATAAAATGTGGAAGCTGAGTCCGAACCCGGCCAAGAGGAAGATGAAAGTCGGCACGACCCTCAAGAAGGACCTCGAGACGTTGATCAGCATGGTGATGTACAGACCCTGCCCGGGAAGCTTCCCGACGAGGATGGTCACCTCCACCCAGACGAGAAACACGACGACCGCGCTGATGTGGTCGTCCAAATCTCGATCAAAGTAACGGATGTCGAATTTACTGAACACCATCAACATGTCCAGAACGAGCAACACGACCTCTATTACGTTCTCCAGGTCTTTGAAATACTCCCACTTCTGTGCCATCATCTGAATCAGTTCACGGAATCCGATGACCACGGTTAGCGCAATCAGAGTGATCAGTAAGACATCAGTCATCGGTTTGAGTTTTGGATCATTCGGTTTGAGCGCGTCACAATTCCCGTGGTCCCAGTCCCTTGCTTGCATTCATCGAATTCCCTTAGACTCTCGTAGTTGGACTTCGTAACGGCCGGAGTACGGAGTACGGCATAAAACATGTAACCCACTAAATTCATGTAAAAGAAAAATCTAAGTTTTTCCCACTTCTTTTGAAGGAAACGGGCACAGACTGGATGAACAAGTAAATCTGAAGCCCCCACTTTCATAAATTCTCGGAACACCTCCATCTCTTGAAAGCTTTTCACACTCTTCCCGATCCCTCGGAACTGGAAAAGATCGAATTCGATCACTTTTTCCCCTCCACTGGGTTTAGTCTCCCTCATGGTCCGATCCAGCAGCCTCGCCGTGAGACCGGGAAATCTCGCGGCGAGTGCGAGCGTGCTGTCGAGATGCGTCAGCCTCGCCCCGAATCGCGTCAGGTGCCGGACGGACTCCTCCATCTTGGACCGAGCCGCGTGCATCGCAGGCGTGTAGTAGTTGGCGTCCTCCGCGTTGGGGTCCGCTCCGTGCTGGAGGAGGTGGAGGACGACCTCCGACCCGCCTTCGCCCGAGCGGCAGGCCAGGTGCAGCGCCGTCTGGCCTCGGATGTCCCGCTCGTCCACTCCGATCCCCCGACGTATCAACTCCTTTCATGGGATTAGTTTCTTAGAATGCAATATGTTGGGTTCCTAGCTTAATTTGAAAATTGCGTTTTAAAAGGAATGAATAGATCTTTCAATTTATCTCGACTTTTAGTATAATTACCTTTTTTCACTTAGAGGCTCTTCACCTAATTTTGAATTTCCTTCAATAAATGCTTAGGATAGTCCACATACGTCAACGCGCATTAGACTTTCTTCCATATATTTAAGAATTTCAAGCTATTTCGAATGAAGAATAAAATAAGTAATAGGTTTGATCTCTTGATTTGTAATCACTTACAGGAACTTCATCATTAACTATTTTTTCTTCAACATTTAGCTTATCCCTCAGCGAATCCCCTCCTTTCAAAATGTTATGATTCCATACCTTGACGGTCAAAATGCATTGGTGGCCGCTGCTGACAGCCACGTGCAAAGCCGTCTCCCTCCTGTTATTCATCGCGTGGATGCACGCCCCGGCATCCAAGAGAATCTGGACCGGTTTGGGCCAGCCCAAAGCAGCTGCTCCGTGCAACGCCCTCTCCTTGTACCTGGAGACGGGCATACATCTGTTCTTAGGTTTGCCAGGGGGGAAGAGGAATTTCGGAGAGACCAAAATTAATATTTTAAAAATAGTAAAAAGTCATTGCCCTTAAGGCTGCAGAAGAATAGCAAGAAAGTACCTGACCTATGGGCCAAAACCGGTCTCCAACCGGATTCCTCATTTACTCTTCCTGCAGCAAGTACGCTGTACATAAGACTTTCATGAAGCACTTGAATGCTTTTCTGAATGCTTCAGTCCATTCCTTTGATTCCTTTTTGCAATCCAACACTCATAAGTACTGTATAATGTGCCTTTAATCTCTTGCTGAATATGCAGGGTGATTCAGAAGTCGCATCCCTCACCAAATGTGACTTTGTATGTGACAAATAAATATTTCCGGTAGTTTTAGATGTGGCAACAATGATCTCAGTGCAAATACCCGTGATTTTATGCGCATGGCTTTGAGTGGCTGTAGTCCAACTTATTGTTGAATTGACTGTGAAACTGGAAATACGACTTTTTCATCGCCACAACGTGTTCTTATTCTCTAGCATTATTTCAAGCTAAATCTCACCTAGCATGTCAGGATGCATTTAAGCAAGCGTTCCTGGACACACAAGAACCAAATAAATCAGCGATAGCTGGGCTCATTCAGCGTTTCCATGAGACGGGCAGATTCAATGACGAGAAGCGTACTCGCTTGTTAATAAATGTATTCCCCTCGCATTTGATGAGCGTGTTGCGTGACTTCTGCATCACACTGCATAAAACCCACACCTGTTCATTGCGTTGACGTCGGCGCCAGCCCGTATGAGCAATATCATGCTTGCTTCTATACCGAAAAGAGCAGCAGCATGAAGGGCCGTGTTCCCCTTGGAGTCGGTTGCATCCACGACTGCACCGCTCTCGAGCAACACCTTTCGAGAAATCAATGCCATCGTATTATGCTATGCGAAGTGAGCACCGCCTGGTACATTATATAAAGTCAAGCGAGGTGATATAAATAATAAATGAACAGAGGAGAGAAGTAACGGTATTATAAGAGAAAGGAGAAGCATTTATTAACAAGTTTAATTTTAAAAAAGAAATCCGCCAGGGTAAGAAGTTTCCACGAATCGAAATATGGATATGACGGGGATTAAACACCTGAATCTTTTGAATTTCCTGTAGAGAGGCTGCATACATGAGGAGGGTGTTCCTGCCCCCCTTCGATCTCACGTTTGGATCGAGTCCAAGGGCAAGTCTTTTTCTCAGTTCCTCCACATTCAGCTCCGTCAATGGCTTGAACTCGGGGAGGCTCAAGTCCTTGTCCGATCCAGCTGACGTCACACGATCCGGTTTCTCGCATTCCGTTCTGTAGCTGGAAGTGATCTCGCCTATGAGGTCAATATTGTCCTTGAGGTCAATGTTTTCCTCGATGTCAATACTTTCCCCGATGGCAATATATTCCTCAATGCCAAAGTTTTCCTCGAGGTCAATTTTGCCCTGGAGGTCAATTCTTTCCTTCAGGGAAATCCCGTCCTTGAGGCCAATGCTCTCCTGGAGGCCAATGCTTTCCTGGAGGCCCATCCTGTCCTGGAGGCCAACGTTGCCCTTGTGGCCAATGCTGTCCGTGAGGCCAATGCTGTCTTTTAGGGAAATCCCATCCTTGAGGCCAATGCTATCCTCGAGGTCAATCTCGCTCTCCTTATCAGTCTCATCCTTCGGTTCATTATCTTTCCTGAAGTCAGTCACATTCTCGGCTTCTTCCCTTTTTCGCTTCATGCTGGGTGCACTTGCTTTCCCGTGGATGCGTACCATTGTGAACGTCGGATCAGCCTAAATTAATAAATTAAAGAATAAAATGTTGGGGCCCTCAGAACCACCTGAACTCCGTTACAAGATCGAAGTTCAAGGAATGGTACACACACAAGGCTAAATGACACTAAATTTGTGGTAGCATTATGCAGCGGATATCTAAATGGGAATCTTTTCATTCATCCGCGAGAAAGGCACGCACATTTTAAAATCCGATTCGATAGTCTTTTTTTCTAAGTAATTCTTCATCCCTGCCTTTCGTAAGTCATCAATCTGCAAAATGAAGAGAAAGCGTCTACACAGGAATCACAGTAGTGAAATAAACTCAAGATGCAATACATTTCCTCGCCCTGCAACCTCATCTCCCTATTTCAAAGCGGAAAGCAACATTAAGATTAAGGAAACTCTCATGTTTCTATCTGCATTCCCATGCAGTATGTCTTCACATCATGGAAGTCGGATTTACTTTACGAAGCACTCTGTTTCACTCGCCAGGTTATCTCAATGCCTGGAATTGTGGTTCCCGAAATAGTTACGAGGTGGAAAGGCGGGATTGATCCATCATTGATCCTTCCTGATACCATGGAGCGTGTTCTACGCGCCGGATTCATAATTAATGACACGGTGCTTGTTAGATGCGGTTCAACACGTCATTAGATCGTTTCATACTACTACGCAGCTTTGGCAGCCGGACTTTTATCAGAGTGTGCTTGATTTTGCATGCCGAATTCGCGCAAGGGATTTGTTTCATCTTTAAAGGCATCTAGCCTCAGAACATAAGTGCACTGAGGAATGTAAATGCAACGAATGCAACATGACAATAATTGACGCTACAAGTCCGTTAAATTAAACAACAAAAAGTTCTCCCAAGTGAAAATATTTTATAAAGAAAAATTATGGAGTATGCTGCAATAAGGTAAGGTGCAATTCATGGATTAGACAATAGATTGTGACTTGTGCATATAACTCAAAGTGGATATGTGACTCGGATCCATATCAAAGTGTGGTTCAATTCATTCTGAAATTTCTGGGTTCTATGCTATGAAATACTGACATTAAGAGCAAGCTAACATTTCTTCATTGTTGTCTTCAAATTTAGAAGATGAAAATGTATCGTTCATATTGCCTAAAACGGGTATTAAACTCATCTCCTCGACGCACGAGACGCTCGCTAGCTCACCTGCAAACTGAGAGCGAAGGTAACAGGTCCTCAATGTGACAGGTCTTCCTCACTATCGAGGCTGGATCGACTGGCGCCAAGCTTCAATGGATTTTCCTCGAGATTACGGACTCGGTGCTAAACAACGGTGTACGGGCGTCGATCGCCCTTCACCTCGCCGATCGATCCCCCTTCGTAGTTCCGCTGCCGATTCAGCATGGGAAACGTGAGTTCTGCCATCTTTCCCATTTCTCGTTTCTGTTGTCAGTATTTGCAATGGCCTCACATAGGACTCGCCCGCTCGATGCATTTCCTTCTAATTGCATTCACGGAGAAGAGATTGTCGATTGCATTCATTCCCATTCAAATGGTTTCATCGCGGTGAGGCGAATTCATGAACCTGTGAAATGAGAATTTATTATAACTCATCATGTAGATGATGGACGCGGCGAAGCGCGGAACAGTTCACCCATCTTCCCAGGACAAATACGAAGGTTTGTCATTTTAATTGACTTTGCAGGATATTCGGGTAAAGCCGCACTCCTCGAAGGAGAGCAACATCATAATTTCAAATACTTCAAATTCATTTGCAATAGGACAATGTATTGACAATATTATAAGGTATTCTAACAACAAAGTAAAAGTAGCATGGCAAGGTAATTGGAGAATGTAATGACAAGGTAAATGGAAAATGTAATGGCATAGTAACTTTAGAATGTAATGGCAAGAAAATTAGAAAATATAATTGTAAATTAAAAAGTAGAATGTTATGACTGAGTCGCCGAGAAACAGCATAGAACGGAATCCTTCATTGCTGGAGGTCCTCCCAAACCTTCCTCACTTCAAACTGACTTCATTTGGCCTTCAAATGAAGGGCAGAGACCGAAAATTATTTGTATCATGTCATTTCACTTCTCCTTTACATATTTTCCATACCCAATCAAAGTGCATGACAATTCGATACGCAATGGACGACTCACGTTGAAACAGCTATCCATTACATTCACTCGGAAATCATCCCATTTCCTTTGGCACTTACTCTTTGGGCATTACAATTCTACATTTTTCGGGATGAAACTTCCATCCGTTATTGTTCTTGATGGTACATAGCATGTAAATTGCTTGCATCATCTAGTCCCATCTGTTCAAGCGCAAACGAAAGAATAGCATTTTAAAGTGCACATCGTAATATGTCCTTTTCTTCGCTGTCGAATTCATGTTGCAATTTTATGGGTGTACATGCAGCTGGTATTTTTCAGGTCAATGGTATATTTATAATAGAGCTGGCAATCGATTAGAAAATGTAATAGATTAATCGCGAGTCATTCATGTTCTCGGCGTTTGGAATGATTATGCTTGTCTCATGCGCAACACCTAGGCGAGCATCAGGAAGTGACTCAAGGCGATGTAGTCGCTAACATAGCAGGTACTATCCATACTCGTACATACACTAGTTCATCCTACAAGTGACCCATTCCAGTCGGAAAGAACATAGTGAGAACATATCCAGATAAATAATGAAATGTAAGCAAAGAAGCGCACTGAGGCCCTTCTCCATTTAGATAGCCAATAGCGAAAGGATGAAAAATGTAATCTAAATGATTGGACGTAAACAGGGACACTTCGTTACGCGGATGTTTAAAGATTCATCAACGATGTACGGCCACAGGATGTAAGAGCAAAAATAGGAGCGAGAAAGGAATAGGAAAGGGTTTCAAACTTTCGTTTCCACTTCTCTTGCCTGCCCCTGGCTTTCCCCTCTCTCGGTTAATTTCGAGGGGGGGGGGGGGGCTCCCACAGACGTTCCCCAGTGCACTTACACGTGCGCCTCTCAGTTCCCATTCTTTACTATATCCTCTTTCTTGCCTCTCCTGTGCCATGCTCCTGCCCAACTCCCCTCTTCCTTCAATGCTTTCCTTTGAAGCTTCTTCATTACGACTTTCTTTTCCCCATTCGCATGCAATGACTTTTACTCTGCCCTAGGCAGTTGTTACCTCAGCCTGACTCGCGAGGCTTGCAAGGCTATGCCTTTAAAAGCCGTGGGCTAGGCAGGACACACGATGCGTAGCAGTAAGCTTGTGGGTGCGAAGGGGCCAGGAAGCCTTTTTTTTTAATAGTCTGAAAGCGATGCCTTTGTTTTTGCGTGTTCCCTTTTCCCAAAAATAGTAAGTCTTTTTGAGGAAGAGTGAGCAATGCGAAAACGACTACCTTCTATGAGCCATGATTGCATTTCATTCGATAGATAAAACGTTCGTTTTCAGTTGTTTTGCAAAACAATGAACTTCACAATAAATTTGTAAGAGGAAAAGAGGCATTCCGGGGATAATTAGGAGATCGATTAAAATTATATTAATTTCGAATAATTTTTAGAATCGCAAATAATACTTCAATCGATTAATATGTCGATTAATATAATCGAATTGACAGCCCTAATTTATATTGTTACAGGTTGAGCTTAATTATTGTTCAACGGTATCGTATTTTCGTAGACACCTTCTTTGCCTGCGGAGAACTGAAGAAAATGACGAGTTTGACCCTAGGAAATGAAAGAAAGGCGATCTACCAAGTGGACCTCAAAAGTCGACGACCACCGATGCCTTGGATCACCCAGTACGACCTGAAGGGGTTCATATCGGCGTCGGACGGCTTCCTCTTCTACGGGCTGGATTGGAAGCTGCACGTGCTGAGGCTAAAAGGCAGGGACCCGAAATCGGGGCCGTTCAATTGGGATGACGTCATCTTCACGCCGTTCGAAATAAGGCGTTCGTCGGCGTGTGCGGCGCAACGGAAAATTTTCATTTCGGGGAGCATGGACGAGATTTCAGAGAAGAAGGTATCGATGTACGATCAGGGTTCTAAGCGGTTCTACGCCATGACCCCGATGACACAGGGTCGGGCCAGGCATTCTTCCTTGGTCTGGGAGAACCTCCTGGTCGTCGTCGGTGGGTTCTACAACAAAAAAATGTTGCCGTCTGTTGAGGCGTTCGACTTGAAAGCTGGGAAGTGGACGGTCTTGCCACCTCTGCCGCAGCCGCTCTGTCACCATGCGATGTGTGTTTGGGCGGACAAGCTCATCGTGGCCGGGGGGTACCTCAAAAACGAAAACCGAACGGACAAGGTCTGGTCACTGGACTTCAACATGATGAAGGACTGGGAGGAGTGGCCGCCGATGATCACGCCCAGGGACTCCCACGGTCTCATCCCTACGGAAGAAGGGACCCTGGCCGCCCTGGGGGGCAACAGGGGCCCTCCGACCGCAGAGGTCATGCAAAGGGATGGCAAGTGGACTCCTCTGGACCTCAAGGCCGACTTCATCGCGTTGGATAAAGCCACCTGCATGAGATTCTGACGGCCTTGAGACCTGGGGTAGATGCCAGGTTAGCACCGGAAACTGCGAAAATACTTCATAAATGTCAGGGGAAGAAACATTGCAAATTGATGGTGCCAAATTCACACAATTCCTGTCTGAAGATCTCCGAATATCAGTATTTCAGATGTCCATCAGTGAGTTCAAGTCAACTGAAAGGAAATTCTTCGACAAATTGGATTTCTCAGATTCGATGTATCCGACTACCTTGGATATGTATTGGCTTCAAGTCTCCAGGAGAAATAATGGGTACAGTTATTTTCAGGACAACGTAGATCTTCCTTATTATCTTCCTGATTATCATAGTCCTAATTTACCAGGTTAGGACTTGTGTTTCTCAGGGGTACCTAAATGATTCTATTAATTTCTTACTATCTGCCTTACTCATATGCATTTTGTACACATATAAAACATAGTACACATTTTGTACACATAGTTGACAGAGGTATCAACTCTTAGAATTGACAAAAATAAAAAAATATTGGCAAGCAGTTTTCCCGCTAGCATATTTGGGAAGGAGTCGTCCATTCACATATTCTATCATCACGTGCCAAAATGCATCGGAATGCTTTCGTATACCAAATGAGTAAGGTGATGGTGATAAATAACTGAATATCTAGAAATAAAAACTTCAAAGGGTGATTTATTTCAGGGTGTTGGGGTGTTCATAACGACATAGGGAATGTTTCGTTGTTAAAGGTTCTCAATCCACAGAATAAAATCCTGAAATTCAGCAACAGCATCCGAGCCCGTTTCTTCCGTGAACGTTTCACGCGACAAACGGCTAACGAAACTTCGAACGAAACCGTTCGAAGACGGTCTGGTAGGGAATATTCCCAACGATTATCAAGATTTACTATTCAAAGTTATGGTAGAACTGGTAGAGCTGGTTGAATCGAGATAACAAACACCTAAAGAGAAAGTTTAACCATGATGCCTCACTTCAGAATCAAGACGTTAGGGATTCTTTTCTGACGAATCGTCTACACGTTTGCAACTGAAATCCTGGCAGTTGTTGATTTGCAAGGGGATGGAGAGCAAGCGATTAAGAGAAGAACAAGGACATGAGGAGTCAAGCAGTGGCATAGCAAGAAACGTTGGGCCCCCGGTAAGAATTTAATTATTACGCCACTTCTCAATACAAAAAAAAAACTAATTTCCCATCGCATGTTTACCACTCACTGTAAAAAAATATCTGATATCAAAGCATGAAAAATCGATAGATATGCTCGGTTAGTCCTTTTTTGAAATGTCTTGAGTCGTATCCATAATGATAGAGAGAAATGGCGCACTTTTGATATCCTGCAGTTGCTCTGTTTCCGAATTATTTGCAATAAGCTCAAGAAGGTCATATTTGATTTAAGGACTCATAACAATTTTCCCATTGGGCTTGTGAAGAAGCTCCTTCATCACAGGATCAAACTCAGCCAAGAGCTCCACCTGAGATGGAAATTGCCGTTGTACGCTTCGAAGATTCTTTCGCGAAACGCTTGGGCATCCGTAGCCAAAGTAAGAATTTGCGTCCAGTTTTCGGGAATAACACAGCCAGGTAACTGGGATGGACAGCTCCGATTTCGTCGTGGTACTGTAATGGAACCCCTTCGACCGGCATGGTCCTTGCACCAGAATAAATCTCATCTGGTATGTGGCTATATCTGTTTGAAAGTTTCCTCCGTCGATTGGATGTCTCTCGCGCAAAAGAATCCCGAACGAGTCTCGACATGCAGTTCCAGGACCCGGGCCGCCTGGCGCAGCCTTGCTTACGTCTGCTAGAGAAACGTCGATTTCCAGTTCAGGAGCGTTTGTCCCGTTGCCGCTGCGTGAAACGATGCAAGAAACTTCCAAGGCGCCTCCAGGATCGTCAGGAGCATCCACTTTTCCCTGGATATTATACTCAGTGGCTTCGGCTTGCTGTTCTTGGGGTCGGTCTCGAAAGTAGCCAAGTCAGTGACTCGATGGATGGAGGTTGGGCTCCCATGATATGGGACCATGGTTCGAAACCCGGCGGGGCCGGATCTTTTTTCTCGATGATCTAGGCCACTGCGTTCTTGGGATCGGAGGCGCCCGAGCAGGAAGCATTGCCGTATTCGCATGTGAAACGTTATACAATCTCAATGGTGAAAGCTGAAATGGGCGTTGCTTCCCTGAAATCGCCATGAGGTAGAGTGGGGCGCGGAACCTTAGTGATAAGCGCATGAGAGAAGCGCAGAGAGTGCGGTCGTGGACTGCTATGCTCCATGAAATGATACGAAAAAATAAACCATGATCCATGAGGAACTATTCCCATTAATGCCATCTGCATGGAGAATAAAACCTGCAAGGAGTTTGCTCAAAATTTTGTTGCCGAGGCACAAGGAAACTGTGACGGCTACCAATCCTAGCTACCGCAGGAGAGACAACGAGAGAGTAGCCGGAGTCGGTCAACACGAGTTGGACAACCGATGAGGCGTTTCGTACATCCCCTAGCCCCTCACCCCGGACTTCAGACAAGTTCTTCCCGTCGTTCACCACGGCCATAAGTGCATCATCCTTGCTGCTTCCCTGAAGTGAAGCTCTCTTTGGCAGCTATTCAAAATTTTGAATCTATCAGTGAAAACAATCAGTGCGCAGTCACGACCTTTTTCAACGCAGTTACTTCTACGGCAAGTGAAAAAAGCCTTGAAACACCAAGCCACTCTGGAGGGCCTTATTCATTGGCAATCTAACAACCATAAGCTCCTCACTAACTTCTGACTGACTTCCGAAAGCATTTGAAAACCACCCAATGCATTGATGTGATATTAAGGCCCTTAATAATTGCAACCAAATAAATGTATATTTTCGAAGATAATTTCTGGATTCGATTTCCTTTGAAGGGCGGGCATCCCGGACGAAGATCTTCAAGTCATTTTACTTCCAAGTTCTCAAAAAGTGGCAATATGTAATTAAGTTCTTTGAGAACAGTGACAAAGACCCTAATGACTTTGGGCCTGTAGCCTATTCCTTGCTCTTGCCTTTTAACGGGCAGGGACAGGTTTTTTGAGACGAGATCGTCCAGGATACTTAGAGTAATTTTTTGCAAACTAAACCGCGGCCGACTGATGCACCCTGCCTCGAGCGAGTCCCACCCAAGCAACTAAGTGCTTGGGGATACAAAGCTCCACCCCGCCACCATACCCCCCCTCCCCCAAGGAAGGCTCCCATTGGGCGGTGCATTCCTCTCCCTATCGCTTAGTCAGCCAACTGTGGCGTTTAATAAACAGAGAGGATCCA